TAAAAGTTTTTGACATGTTAAACCATCTAGTTCAATTTTTAAAATTATTTTCTTTGTCCTTAAATATGAAAGCTAGACTTCCCCTTCTTCAAAATAAAGTGATAATTTATAACCCATAAGATATATAAATACTTCAACATAAACACATATGAAAAAATTAGTGTTCTTAATGGAAGAGAGTGATAATAATTTGTAGCCTGGAGTCCAAGACATGTAGTAAACAGTAACATCAATACAATCTGTAAATTTACTCCTAGCATCTTTTAAATAATGTCTTTAATGTTTGAAATAAAATTGTTTTGATTTTACATGTCCAACTTTCTATCAAAACTCTATCAAGATTGAACAGAATCTCTCAAATTTAATTTTTTGAACTGAGGCCTAATAAATCTACCAGAAGAAATGACAATTTTGTTGTTTTCCTGTTTTGTTGCTTTTTATAAGAACTTCTCTTTTTTACAGTTACAATAAATTACATATGCAAATAAATAAAAGCAAAACAAGCAATCCGAATGCTGCTTTCCTGTTTTATAATCTTCAGCTTTGTAGCCAAGCTACTGGGGAGGACTGATACAGAAGAAACCCTGGCTCCAGGCAGATCTCAGTTTTGCAAAGGTGCTCATAGCACTAAGAGGAGTACCTCATACCCTTTCTAGTAAACACAAACGGAAGAAAAACTATAAAGCCTCTCCCTCTGCTCAGCTCTTTGGAAGCATTGTGCACTGCTGGTTAAGTGACCCCTTCATCATTCAAAAAATATTCAATTTCTGCCTTTAAAATCTTGACTAAATTTTCTCACCCATGGAAGGAAAAGGGTCTTAGAAAGTTATTCAGAATTATAATACCCTGCAACTCAAAAGAAACATATAATAAGGAAAAAAAATTTTTTTTTGTACTGGGGATTAAATCCAGAGCCTTCACACTTAGCTACATCCTCAGACTTTTTTATTTTTATTTTGAGACAGGGTCCCACTAAGTTGCTAAACTGTCCAGGCTTAGGCTCGAAATTTTCATCCTCCTGCCTCAGCCTTCCAGAGTGTTATAGACGTGTACCACAATGCCTGGCTTATAATACATCTTAATAGATTCAGTAAGTATTGCCTCTTCCTTCATCAGGCAAAATAAATATGCCCAGAATCCCACAATAATAGATAAAGCTCTTATTAAGCTCACTTCAATATCAATTAGCAAGATGAAAAGCTATCAGTCATCAACAGAAGAAAATTCTGTCGGCAACGCTCTCAGGCTGGCACGGAATGGAAACTGTGACCGGGTGGTCCCAGAAAGAAACACACAGAGGGATGAGAGCGCTTGTGTGACGTTCACAGTTGCGACTGTGAAGATTCTCCCAGGCGCGTCAACAGCTGGAAGAGGAAGGTCAGAAACCGCGGCCCAGCCCCGCAGCTGGGAATCCACCCTGCAAGCGAAACGTTTTCACTAAGAAGCTCTGTACTGCACATGGCGTGGATTCATTACAACACACTCAGGCTGCGTCACTTAGAATCAAACAGGCCCAATCATTTTCCTTGTAACCCTCCAGTGCTGTTGACAAATCACTGTACAGTCGAAGAATTATTAACTATGTTTTATTGCTTCCTTTCTGTATGATCCCCTTCATCTGACCCAACACCGCGCAAGCCGGAGCTTCCTTCTCAGCTCCGAGCCTGCGGCAAGCAACTCAGGAAACCGAAAGTTCTCCGAATACTCCGAGTGGCTATTTTTGGCTGAACAGGGGCCCTGAATACTAAAGAACACTTCTTTAAACAAGTTAAATATCCATCCATCTAAAAGGATCGGTGACTTTTATTTTGCCCTGGCAAAGGAAAGAAGCACGAAAAAATTCAAAGCATCATTAGCCTTGCAATTAGCTGGAAAAAAAATGAAACATCAGACACGTGAAGGCTGTATTATAAATACCTGTCCATTTAGAGCAAACGGCACGAGCGTGATACTTTCTGACTGGAGTTGAGAACCAAGACCCTTCTTTTGCCAGGCTGAAGGGAGCTGGTAGATGAAATGGGAAGGTGAACCATAACCTATACCTATTATTTGCCTCTTAGAATTCCTTAAGTAAACAAGTAAAAAGGCCATTATTTCATTTGTTGTACTTCCAAATTGCCAACATCTAAGAAAAACAGACGGCAAAGTATCTATAAGCACTCTTTAATATCTGAAAGGGACAACAAACCCAAACTGAAGTATTTCCCACCTTGGTTCTAGTTTGCAGTCGGCTCCAAATCTCCACCTCCCTTGGGTCTATTCTAAACACTGGCAGACCACGGTTAGGCAGACACAGTTCTCATACATTTCAAAGCTCCTGCCTTGCCAAGAGGATTCTCAACACAGACAGCAAGGAGCCCATCTGCGGCACAAACAAGTCCTACCGTGCTCCCATAGATTATCAACAATGCCTTGACGATTTGCCAAGCAGAAGACTACGCTACACTGAAGAATATGTATAAGGCTATAAGCAGCATGCGGCAAGACAGTACACTATGCTGTTTTTATTTGGGAGGTGCTGGGCGTGGAACCTGGGGGTTCACGGGCACCAGACAAGCAAGTGCTCTGCCACAAAGCCAACTGCCAGCTCCTAGTAGTAAGATGAATGAAAAATGTAGTAAGAAAAGTAGACCACAAGGTATGCTACACTCCTAAGCCAGTACCTGCATGGTCTGTGGTCTTTCCTGTTAATAATTGGTTATTTTGCAACTCGTGCAAGACTGTTGTCCTTACTGGAATATTTCTGACAGGCATATGCTCCTGAAAGTTGATTTTAAGTGAATGTAAGTATGCTAAATTCATGATCAAACGAAAGTACTGAAGAATTTTGCTTATAAACTTTAGTTACTTCACCTCATGCTGCATGTTGAAAATTACATTAAATATATACTGATAAAACTTGATTTATTGTATCACTTATAAGTATGCAACAGAAAATAAATGACAGCCCTAATATTGTCAGTTGCATTTCTAAGCTCTAATAAAACAATCATGAGATTTATGTAAATACACAACTCATGTATGTTAGTGATATATTACACAGGGCTTTTCCTAACTTATCCCTTAAATTATAAATTTAACTATACTTTCAAATAATGAAATGCTGTTTAATAAGGAATTCATGTTTTACAAATAATTCATAACACATTTTATAAACTTCCTCCTTAGGAGAGCAAAACATTATACATCTCACCATAAAATATTATCTAAAAATGAAACATCAGGAATAAACCGCACTTTATATCATTTCTGTATGTATGTTTGCTCTCCTCTATGCAGAAACCTACAGGCTACAAATGACAAGAGGCCTTCAACAGTGTATCTGTGTCTTGTTACACTGGAGGAAAAGGGAATTGATTTTTCTGAACATCTCACAGCCCTTGTTTCCCGATGTCAGGATGGCAGAAGGTGAGCTGGGATCCAGGTTCTGCCCCGGCCGGCAGGAGCCCGGCTGCAGGGCCCGGCTGTAGGGCCTGGCTGTCTGCTGCCACCAGCTCTGGTCACCTCGGCCCCGGTCACCTTCCCAGCAGCCCTCCCGCGCCAGCCAGCTGGAGCTTCCTGTCCACGCAGGTTCCACGCCTGTCTTCTGACTTCTCCCAAGCAGAGACCCTGCCCGGGAGCAGGGGCCCGGCGATGACAGAACTGCTGAGGGCAAACTGTCAACTTTTTTCTTCCATCTGTTTTTCAGGGAAGTGCTTACTGGGAACCTAGAAGATAAGAACTGGGTACCTTTGGTTGCCTCTTCCCCCTGTGACTGAAAAGGATGGTTTCTGGTCAACTGGCTTTGCTATTTTTCTTATTAAGTGATATGAAAAAATTTCCCATGCATGAGTGGATACAGAAAAGTCTGGAAGGTTATATGGGCATTTTTATTTTCTTCATTTTGTTTATCTGTATTCTTTAAAGTTTTCCACTTTGAATATTTATTACGGAAGTAATAAAACTTTTTTAGTTTTAAATGCTTTTCTTTGAAATGTTTATGAGCCACGTTGCAGTACGCCCTGGTTCCACTCCTCGGGAGGGCGGCACGCACGGCGCACACCTGAAGCCTCCTTTACGTCTTCCCTCTCCGATCCTTTCATCTCTCTGTCCCTTCCCACAGGCACAATGAGCACTACCGTAAAAGCACTAGTAAACCAACCGAACTCCAGCTGTGTCCTGCAAACAGGGGTTTCCCTCACGCGTTCTACAGGGCAGAAAGGAAATGGAGGTTGCATCTGGAGGGCCGAGTGGGTCTGCTGCTTGGGGGGGATTCTGAAAACGCTCTTCCAGCAGACTTTGCCGGCAAGGCTTGGAGCCCACTCGGAGCCACAGCAAGCAGCTATTAATTTAGTTTTCTGACCGCACCACAGTCATTTCCCAGCCATCTCTTGGAAAGGCTCCCTTCATTTCCATCTCCCAAGATTCAAAAAGCTTTTAAAAATCGATTGACAGTAGCTAGCAACCCTTCCTAGAGATCATTTTAAACATTCGCATACACTCACTTCCAGCAGCCATATCTTCAAAGCGGAACACCACTCCCTGGTTTCCTCCATGCCCTCTACACCATCCCACTGCTGTCATCCTTTAATTCAAAAACAAAGTGTTCCGAAGTGCCGCCGAGACCTCTTTAACACACGACAAAACCGAACAGTGATCCCAGCAAACACCCGCCACGCAGAATTCGCCAAGGAAAAAGGATCCCACGCCTCCGCCTCCTCCTCCGGGCCAGTCCTCCCAGGTCCTCCTCAGGGGAGGCCGCCCCGCCACCCGTCCTCCCTGCCGTCCCAGAGAGGCTCTCCACCCCAGTCTCAGCCTTGTCTAACGCTTCGCGACTGCTGCGTCTGGCGGAGCCATGCGCTCTGCCTTTCCTGAGGCCCCACCTGGGCCCAGCGATGCCCGTGAGTCCCCCTCACGCCTCAGGGTCCTTCCCCCAACCCCTTCCCATTCGACCCTTAAAGAGCCAGACGTTCCACCTGTGATTTCCTCACCCTTTCCCAAGAAGATGCCTTCCTTCCCACCTGGTGGCTTCAGATGACACACGATAAAAACAAGGGCGCAGGCATCTACACACAGAAACGGGCAAAACCATGCTACACTGTCCGGAGCGGGGCAGGGAGCCCTCGGGAAGCCTCCAGGGTCTGAGGGTCTCGCTCTTGGTGCAGGCGCTGGGTTCCCGAGTGTGCACTTGCTTGAATTCACCAGGCTGCTAGCACGCAGGTGCAGGAATGCTGCCTTCAATACAGTTCATGTTTAAAAGCAAAGGAAAAGCTGCGCCCGAGTTCAGGGTCCGGCTTCTGCCTGTGTGATTTGAGTATATCTTATGCTGCTAAGTCTTAGTTTCCTCACCAGCACAATGAAACAAAGTATTATGCAAGAGGTACTTGCACAAGGGCGGTGTTTACAAAACCCAAGACTTCTGGGTCTCCATCCTTTCCTCATCCAGCTGGATAACTGCTCTCCTGGGCAGTCAATCTCCCCGCAGACTGCTCTGTCAGGAGGCCACACTGAGCTCATCACCTCCTCCGGGTTCTCCCCTGGTTTCCCTTAAGCTGGGGCTGAAGCAATTGCAGTCACCTTAGGGTCCTAATATTTTACGTGTGGCCCACCAGGTCCCATCTATTCCTCACCCTGAAAGAACCTCTGTGCTGCTGCCCAGGCGTGATGGCACGCTAGCTGTCTGCGTGTGACAGCAGCTGGCCTGTCACAATTGCTCCCTGGTAGGCCCACCCCCCACCTCCAGAATTATTACCCTGAAGTGCACCTCAGTGACCTCACTTCTCTGACCCAAGCTCCGCAGCTCCCAGGTCGCGCTGTTGCACAAGGTCATTATCGATGGCGGCTGCTGGACTCGCAGCTGTACCTTGCAGCTGTGTCCCGCACGGCGCAGCCCGCACCCTCGGGCCCATGGTGCTGCGTCTGTGGCTTCCGCCAACCACACAACGACAGCACGGGGAAAACAAACCGACATCTGTCCTGAACATGACAGATGTCTTTCTCCTTCTTCAATCCCCGAACAACAAGTATCAGAAGTAATCTAACGGTGAGTTCAAGTCTGTGGGAGGATGGCAGAGGCGGGATGCAAGGCCGTGCGCTGCCCCACACGGGACTTGGGCACTGGCAAGGTCCGGTGTCCACGGAGACGCCCGAGCCAAGTACGCTGAGGGATGACTGTGTGCTGAACGTTACGTCTCTTTGTTTCTGTCTCTCTCTCTCTCCCCGCCCTCCACCCCTTTCAGTTGACCCACTCCCTAATTTGGCTAAAGTCTGTTTTCAGTAGCATCCTCTTAGAAATGTTTCCCCATCCAACTCTGGGGGCGCTCAACATATACAGACGGTCTGCATTGGTTAAACAAACACAGAAATGGAGGAATAGTAGAAAGCATGAAGAATCTGAGCCCCAGTTCATAGAATTTATATAAATGTATGCTCATAAAACAGACAAGTTTTTAAAACTCACCTCAAATGCTACCTAGGTAAACCCCAACTCTTCTTGTCTAGGCACTGTGTTTTCTATACAAAGAACCGAAAGATTGGTTTGAAATGTTTAAAGAAATGAACACCGGGCATCGTGCTGGTGCGCTGCGTGCCCCTTGTCTGACCACACTCCCTCTCCTGCCCACTCTGCTGCGGCCCAGGAACTTAACTCCGGACTCCACATCACCCGACTCCTGACTCAGTGTCCCGCTGGGCCCGCAGAAAGGAGCGGCCCGCCTGAACAGGAGCCCAGAGGTGGGGAAGGAAAGGCCTCTCCCACCCAGCCACACCTCGGCTTAGCCCTGGCAGGACGCGGCCTGCTCCTTGCAGCCCCTGCTCCCAGGGCTGACCTCCTCTCCTGCAGCCCGTGCGGCCTACCCTGCACAGAGCTGGGCGAAGCTGTCTCCAGCTCTCCAGTTAGGAAGCCATCTGCTGGTGGTCTGACAAATTCGAACGCGACAACACCGTCAGATTAACAGCATTTTTCCTAGGATTGTTATATTATCAGCTCACTTGTCAAGCATACGCCTACTTTAAGAAAAAAATCAACAATTTCTAATGCTTTGGGGAAAACTTGCCTATACGGTACATTCCTAAATCCAACTCATGGAAGTCACTCAGTACAATCTGGATTCAAAATGAATTCGTAAGTCATTTTGCACATGAACTCCGACCTGAAAACAATGCCTGGTATGTGTACATGCACGTATATATGTGTGTGTGATGAGCTTTACTATAGACACCTCACTCGTTTTCCCATTATACTCTTTCTAAAGAAAGGAATAATAATATCAACACCAAAGTTTAATTCAGAGGAAATATGCTTATGGAAACACCTTAACAGCTTCCTAATAATAGTTACTACTTACATGCACTGACAAAGTATAATCATCACGAAATTTTAATCCAATTATAAGTGACAAATAGTACTTGATGCTGTGAAAAGAAAAACACAACAAAGGACCGTCCCTGGGGCTGAGGATGCGGCCTGGTGGTAGAGCACTTGCCCGGCATGGATGAGGCCCTGGTTTTGATCCCCAGCACCACAAAAGAGAACGAATTAACAAAGGGGTGAGGAGTCATTTCTGCGTTCCCAATTGTTGGTCCCGCAGCCATGACAGGGAACAGACACGGTGTGGCAGTGGCACTGACCCTGGGCCACACGGAACCCTCCAGGTGCCCTGGGTTCAAAACCAAACAAAAAACCCGACAGGCCGTGAGCTGGCTGGAAGAGGCTGCAGGCGGAGGAGACTCAGAACTACAGGAGCCAGCTTTTCCTCGCTAACGTTACCTATTCTTCGTCTGTTTGTTTCTGACTCCAAACTTTACCAGGTAAATCCACTTCTGCCAGACTGCTTCACTTCTACTTACAGAGGGAGGGATGGGGAAATAGCTCCATTTGAACCTGAGCTCCTAACTGGCATTTTTTCTCTTATAAGTATTTACATCCAAATTGTTAACTCTCCGGAATTTGGAGCGATCAGTGGAGCGCCTTCGGTGCCTGTGATTCTGTCCGCTTTTCGGTGGCTGTGATATGTAACATTCCTTCACCTCCTCCTCCGTCCTCCCAGTCCAACTACACCGGGTGGGTAGAGTGAGGGGAACAATCCAGGCCCCTCCCACCCACTCAGCATTCCAAACACGATTCTTTCTCCATTCACGCAATGAAACACACTGGGTCAAAATGGCCAGCGTGGGCAGCAGAGTGAGAAACCTGAACTTAAATTCAAGCTCAGTGCCTTGTGCAAGACATCTAATCTCTCTGAGACTCGGTTTCCCTGCGTGTGAAATTGGAATTATATTTACGTTATGAAGTTGCTGTAGGGGTTAAACAGGAAGCCAGACACGAAAGACAGACATGGTATGATCCCACTTACGTGCGAAATGTGGAGCAGTCAACTCCGAGAGAAAAGTAGAACGGTGACCGGCAGGGGCTGCGGACGGGGGCGGAGGGAAGTTGCTGGGTTTTGGGGCTGTCCTTTTCTTATTAATACACGTTTGCAGCAGCACACTGCTCACAACCCTCACGAGGAGTCGGCGCGCGTACAGAGCACACCTTCCTTCCTTTTCCACCCTTCCTCCCCTCGCTCCCCACCTCCGTCTTTTGATCTTCCAACAATCTATCTCTATACATCCTGGTATTTACCATTCCTTTTGCTCTTCATGTCTACATTGGGTTTCTGATGTAAGAGAAACCATGTGATATTGAAGCCTGTGTGCCTGATTTATTTCACTTAACATTCTGCTCTCAAGGGGCATCCATTTCCCTACAAATGACCAAATTTATCCTTCTTTCTGGCAGTGTAGTACTCCGTAGTGTATAAACACCACATTTGCTTTACCCATTCATCTGCTGGTGGACATAGAGGCTACTTCCAAGATTTATCTACCATGAGTTGTGCTGCTGTAAACAGGGGTGCATGGATCACTGTAATACGATGTCTTCAACTCTTCCAGAAAAGGCCTAGGAGGGGAAGAGGTGGGTCAAACAGGAAGTCTAGTTTCAGTGTTTGAGGAATCGCCACACTGATGTCCAGGTTTGTGTGTAATGGGCGCACAGCTTCAGGTAGGGAAGATGAAATGTTCTAGGCTTGGGGAGGGGTGATGGCTGCGTCACAAGGGGAATGTACTTACTACCACTGAGCTTTACATCTACAAGCAGTGAAAATGGTAGATCCCACGTCATGTAAATTTTATTACAATGAGAGAAAAATATGCCATCAGTAATTCATATTGAAAGATTCTCCCTCCCTTGATAAAAAGAGGCATGAAGGGGAAAGAACCTTCCCAGCTCAGCTCTCCAGACTGCAGCTAACTGGCAAAGGTGGAGAAGAGTTCACTGATAAAAACTAAACCTTCACGAAATGAAAAACCTGGGGCTACCCTTAGACCCACGGCCACCCACTGCCTAACAAAAGTGTACAATGTTCTGGGTGGTGCGGCCCTGGCGAGGTTAGTAACTGTACAGGCCTGCAACTAACACACTACAGCAACACACATTTCCACGTAACCGAAATACTGACAGAAACTTTATCACCTAATGTACAATTCTGCCAAACCAAATTCATACTTAAACTTCTTAAATGCTCAGGAGTCTCTCACAGTAAAAGAGGAGGCCGCTGTGCACGGAAAGCAAGACTGACCTCAGAACCAAGAATCCTAACCATGGCCCGGCTTCGTCACATTTCTGTATTACCCTGGCTGGTGAGTCGATCTCATTTCTAAATCTCGACAATAAATGGAGGTACCTGATTCACAGAAGGACTGTGAGATTTAAAGTCTATTAAAAATGCTTTCACAACAATAGTTCAATGTCGTTTATAACACCAAATTTGTGAATACAGAGTAGTCTACCAGAAATTCGTATTTAAATACACACGTATTTCGTCGTAAGTAGGTAATCTTTCCTAATTCTGAGATCCACAGAAAGACTAGTATATGCCTATATTCTGGAAAAATCGTCTTTAGAAATTACATATTAACCCTAGCACCAAATTCTGGCAATCCTGGGGAGAAAACGAGCTAGATGCAGGTAATATAGACTGTGACGTGTTTATAATTAACCACATCCTAAATTCATGTATTGCCCAAACCTATAATAGTGATTCTGAGTCTCGTACCAAACAGTGGCAATACAGAGGTGAAGTGGACATCATGGCCCTGTCCTCAGGGACCTTTCGGTCTGAGACAACACTGAGCAAAATGTTAGGCGAATAACTCACGCTTTCTTTATGCCAGACATGAAACAGGAAAACCAGAGGAGGCGCCAGCGGCAGTGGATCCCGTGGAGGCAGTTTGGGAGGGACTGTCCTGCCAGCCACACTGACCCGTGTTACCGCACAGGCTGTGTGTTTGGGAGCCTTGGCTGTTCCTATCGAAGTCGTGATAAAGCTGCACCGTCTTCCTCTGTACTCCCTGGGCTTGGGAGAGGAGATAAGCAACCCCACTATCTAGGAAGACCAGATCAACTGGATCCACTGCCTACCTCCTCAGTAAAGAGCCCAGCTCCTTTATCCCAACTTTCACTCTGATCCGACACATCCTTGAGCAACTACGCCCTGCTGAGAAGTTCCTCAGAGTAGCTTAGAGCTGCCCCGGGAGCGCCAGCCCCAAGGCTAGCACTTTTCTTACACTGCTTCTCAATTCTC